GGGGGGGGGGGAGAGCAGAGAGAGAGGGTGGGGTCTGCATCCGGCTTTTTAAGGGCTCGTGGTGAAGCGGGCTTACGGAGCTACACCACGCATGCGCTGATTGTGTGACCACGCCATGCGCACACTGATGACCCTTTGCTTAACTCCTGAACTGCGCATGTGCAGTCATGTAGCTGGAGTGAGGGCAGAATTCTAACACTGATCATTCGTAAAGATCCTCCTGCCTCTGCCTCTGCGGCGCTGAGATTAAGGACATGTGCCACTGCCCCTCGCTAAAATGTTTTTGAGGTACAGTTTTACTTTCAGATTAGCCTGGCCGGGAACTCACTGTGCAGCCCAAGCTGCCTCAAACTCAGCAGTCCCCTGCCTCGGCCTCTGAAGTGCCGGGGTGTAAGCGTGGACTGCCATGTCTGATTTCTGTTTTCTTTTAGGTCCACAGAGCTAGGGGTCCTACAGACCTTTGCAAAAAGCAAGATTAATGAACAACCCCGGTGTTCACTCACAGGAAACCCTCACCCTCTCCTTTTGCAGAATTTGCATAATAGGCTCATTTGAGGGCGAGGTGTGTAGCTCAGCGGTCACAAAGCCCTGGACTTGCTCTCCAGTACCACAGAGAATCAACAAAAGAACACAATATGGTCAAAGGAAGCCGGGTGCGGTGGTGTATATTAATTACCACCAGGCGACAAGAGACTAGCTTGGTCCATAAATTAATCAAAACAGGGGATGCTGGCCTGAGGAGGCGCTTCTGCCTCAGGGACTCCATTCGGGTAAAGCCAGACCCTTAATCATGTCTCAGAAAACAATTCCAGGATGAGTCTGAGTGAAGCACAGTGAGTGTGAATTTATTAAGATAAGGGAGACTACACACTTTAGATTTAAATGGAGGCTTTGGAAAATGGAGAGTACACAGCCTGAGTGCTTTCCAAGGAGGATAGTCACCCTTAGGGATGGATGGATGGATGGATGGATGGATGGATGGATGGAGATATCTACATCTATTATATATTACATATGTGTGTGTGTAATTTGTGACTTTTTTCTTAGACTGGGTCTCATGTAGCATAAGCTGGCCTCAAAGCCAAGGATGAACCTGAACTTCTGACCATCTTACCATGTACTAGAAGGACAGCCATGCTACTAGAACTAGACTCGTGGCTATTTAAATTACAGTGTTCATAGAATATAATTTACAACCAAGTTTAAAGATTAAGCAAAGTTTAAAAATAAAAGTTTAATAAGTAAGTAAAAACCCTTTTTTTTTTTTTGTTTTTGTTTTTTTCTCTGCGTAGCTTTGGAGCCTGTCCTGGATCTCCCTCTGGTGACCAGTGTATGGGTGGCTATCTGTGCTTCACCTCTGAAGCACTGCTCCCAGTAGATAGCAGGTAACCGCTAGGTACCTGCCCCCTCCAACGGGCAGGGCCATGGGGGACCCCTTAAGACCTGGGATGTATATGTGCTCGCTCTCTTGGCTACCTAGTGATTTTGGAGGCTGGTGCTACGGATCAAGGCAGAGTTCGCCAAAGAACCGTGTTGGACTGCGCCTCACCCCTCCTGGAACCCTGGACCAACTCCCTTATCCTTGTTGTGAGTTAACCCAAAATAAACCCCTTTGATTATCAGATAAACTCCGAGGAATTGCCGCTTTAGACCAGGCTGGCCTCGAACTCAGAGATCTGCTTACCTCTGCCTCCTAAGTGCTGGGATTAAAGGTGTGCACCACCACCGCTCGGCTACTTATTTCTTTTATCTTAAAGAATTTCCTTTTGTAAATGAAACTGTAGTGTGGTTTAATGAGGTTTAGATTTAAGTATTGCAGAGGCAAGCAAAAAAAGTAAAACTCAAGGTCACAAACATTCTGGCCCTGACTAAGTAAGCAAAGGTTGTTGTTGTTTTAAACAACCCCTGTGTGAGAAGTCTTTTGGAAAACACAGATTATCTCTGCAGGCCATCTAGGCATTATCAGTTGTGACAAGTTTCTTGACCTTTGGTCAGCAGGAAAGGTAAACTGGGTCCCAGGGTGAGTGTCTTTCTCTTCCTCTGTCTCTTACTTAGCTGCCCTAGTCTAGAGCTGCATGGCTATATCCTGTCTCCAAAAACCACGCAACCCATTACCCAACAACAAAACAGAATAAACAACAAAGGAAGGCGTGAGGGTCAAAAGGGAGCCAGCCACCGCGGTGCACGACTGTAAGCCCACATACAAAGGAAGCTGAGGCAGGAGGATTGTGAGTTTGAGGCCCAGCCTTGGAAACATACTGAAGCCCTATCTGGAAAACAAACAGGGCCCAGCAAGATGGATGAGCAGATAAAGGGTGTCCGCCTCTAAACCCGAGGACCTGAGTTCCATCCCCAGGACCCGAGTGAAGGGATGAAAAATGTCTTCTGGAAGTTGTCCTCTGAGCTCCACATGCTCACTCCCCACCCCACCCCCAAGAAATTCAGAAATGAATAAATGTAAACATTTTCTTTTTTTTGAATGAAAAGTCAGAGCAGGAAGAACTAAGCAAGAGACAGAAGACTGGGTACTTGGACTGATGCAAGGAAGGGTCATAAAGCCAAGGAATGCAGAAGGCAGAGAAGACGACGACAGACATGCATCTTCTGCAAGTCTCTAGAAGGCTCCAGCTCGGCCAGCCCCCGACTTTAGCCATGTGAGGACGTTTACTGGGGGTAGATGTGGGCACATCCTTTCCAGTCATGGTCTATTGAAATCTCTTACACAGCTGCTCCTGTCTGTAAGAGTGAGGCCATGAGCAAGAGATCTGGAGAACATCTAAGCTGCCTCCTCTGTGGACTTGTTTTATTTTGTTTTGTTTGTTTTCCAGACAGGGTTTCTCTGTGTAGCTCTGGCTGTTCTGGAACTCCCTCTGTAGCCCAGGCTGGCCTTGAACTTGCTTGTCTCTGCCTCCTGAGTGCTGGGACTAAGGGCGTGCACCACCACTGCCTGGCTCTCTACAGACTTTTATGGAAGCTTCTAGACATTGGGTACTGTAAGGATTCAGTCCTTAATTACATCATCAGCCTGCGATGGTGAGCCTAAAAAGCAGGTGGGCCCTCTGTGTGTCCCCCCCCCCTTCTTCTCTTTCTGCTCTCTCCTTCCGTCTGTCCCCCCCCCTCCCAATAAAGCTCTAAAAAGGTAACCATGGCTGTGATTCTTCCGATCAGCACTCTCCCCCGCTGGCAGCGCGCCATTTAACCAACAGGTACCACATATTAGATAAATGCCATTAGGTTCCACAAGAATGCCAAAATACCAAAAAAAAAAAAAAAAAAAAAAAAAAAAAAAAAAAAAGAAAGAAAAGAATGCACACACCTTGGCATACCTTGACCACACCATATGTTCATTCGTGACCTCTACAGTCTCATTGTCTTGGTGAATTCTGCACAGACAGGTTGATTTCCTTTGGAAGTTTTGTGTGCCACAGGTTAGGGATGATACCTGCTTTGTTATATGTAAGAGGGGGAAAGAAATAATCTGAACAATTTAGAATTTAGCGTATGCTGCCAGTGCATTTTTAAAATGAGGACATATGCCGGGTGGCAGTAGTGGTTCACGCCTTTAATCCCAGCACTCGGGAGGCAGAGGCAGTAGATCTCTGTGAGTTCCAGGCTATCCTGGGCTACAGAGCAAGATCCAGGACAGGCTCCAAAGCTACACAAGAAACCCTGTCTCGAAAAACCAAAAAAGGGGTTGGGGATTTAGCTCAGTGATAGGGCGCTTGCCTAGCAAGTGCAAGGCCCTGGGTTTGGTCCTCAGAAAAGAAAAGAAAAAAGGAAAACCTAAATAAATAAATTTTAAAAAATTAATAAATAAAATGAGGACATGCATGTTCTGTGTGACTTGCCTTTAGAAACTGCAAAACTAAGGGAATTATGTAAACAGCCAAGTCAAGGAAGTGATTGGCTAATCTGGTTGTGGAATCTGAGAGCAAATAATTCATTTCTGGACTCGCAGAGCAGAACCGAACCCCCAGGAAGTCATGGGTACTGACTCGAGGCTTCTCAGGAGGCCAGGACTAAATGCAGCCTAGATGAGGTGAGGGGTGGGAGCAGACAAAGGGTAGAGACAGGAAGATGGGCTGAGCCAGGCATGGAGGCCGTTGTATTAGAGGGCCTAGGCTTTCTTCGCTTTTCTTCCCCTCCCTCCCTCTCCCTCTTACTTTCTTCCCTGCTCCCACTTCTCCCCCCCTCCACTAACTCCTTCCTCACTCCTTCTTCCCCCTCGCCCTCCCCCTCCTATTTGAGACAGGTCTTGCTATGTAGCCTTGGCTGGCCTGGGACTTGCTATTAATATATAGACCGGGTTGCCCCTAAACCTGTGGCAATCCACTTGCCTCAGCCTCCCAAATGCAAGATTCCAGGCATGTGCCCCCATGCCTGGTGGTAGAGGTTTCCAGAGTTTTGTCGGGGTACTCTGAAGACTTTTGTTTTTTGTTTTTCGAGACAGGGTTTGTCTGTGTAGCTTTGCGCCTTTCCTGGAACTCAGTCTGTAGGCCAGGCTGGCCTCGAACTCACAGAGATCCGCCTGGCTCTGCCTCCCGAGTGCTGGGATTAAAGGCGTGCGCCACCACCGCCGGCAAGACTTTTACTCACAGACAGCCTTCAGCTCTGCTGGGAGCCTCACACATGGAGATCAGCTGCCCAGGCTCAGCTGCCTTCTGACTGTGAGGAAGGGCTCACTCAGGTTGAGAAAGGGAGATCTGGAGCCTCCCTCATACCACAGGGAAAGCCACACCTCCAGACTTCCCTCTGCCTGACAAAGTTGCTCTGATGGGCAGCGTGCAGGTACCACACCTCACGACGTTCATGTGGGAAGCAAGAACCTCAGCTGGAGGCAGGAAACCTCCAGGCTCTTAGCCCAGAAATGGGGAGGGGCAGAGCAAAGTTTAGAGGTCAAAATTTAGAGACTAAAACTGGGTGTTTATTTACCATTCATTCATTCATTCATTCAAGACAGGGTCTCACTACATAACCCTGGCTGTCCTGGATCTCACTCTGCAGACCAGGCTGGCCTCGAACTCACAGAGATCCACCTGTCTCTGCCTCCCAAGTGCTAGGACTAAAGGTGTGGGACACTATTGCTGGGCTAAACTTGGTATTTTAGAATTTACAAATGCAAGCCCCATTTCACTTAAGTGGCAGGTCCAAGACTCAACTGCAGTTCTGTCTGATTTAAGTCAATGTTTGAAAATAACATTTTCTAGCTTTCCTGCTCATTGTTAGCCTTGCTTTCTGTTTTTCAGCTTTTTTCTGTGTTTTATTGCAACTCAATTAAAGACATTTGCTGAGGTCTGTTAAGGATTTCTTCCTAGTCTACTGTCACAGTAGATGGACAACTTTCTTCAAGATTTATGTGGGGACTGCAGAGAGGGCTCAGCAGTGAAGAGCGCTTGCTGCTCTTGCAGAGGACCTGGGTTTGGGTCCCAGTGCTGTTAGCTCCAGTTCCAGGGGACCCGATCCCCTCTTCTGTCCTCTGTCCTCTGCAGGTGTCCACATGCTCACATGAACAAACCTCTTTTTTGTTTGTTTGTTTGTTTCTTGAGACAGGGTTTCTCTGTGTAGCTTTGGAGCCTGTCCTGGAACTCACTCTGTAGACCAGGCTGGCTTCGAACTCAGAAATCCACCTACCTCTGCCTTCTGAGTGCTGGGATTAAAGGCGTGTACCACCACCGCCTGGTGGTGGCTGCTTCTTAATATGTTCAAAATTCTCCCAAGCTCCAGAGCCAGCTTGAATCTACCTGGACAGGTCAGATCCACTTCAGATAAGTATAATTCAAACTTTCTGGTCCTGGGACAGCCCCCCTCTCACCCTGAGACCCCTCAGGGAACCCCACAAGGTAAATTTTTTTCTGAACTCCCTCTTCTGCCTCACCAGTACCTTGTCAGACCCAAACAGCCATGGAGCCCGAAGCAGCAGAGGATGATGGACAATTCCCAAAGCAGCAGAGGACAATCCACTACCTCAGGACATCCAGCTACCCCCAAAAGCCCCCTTCTCTACCCCCAAAAGTTAACTGACGCCCACCGAGTCAGCTGGAAGTAGTTTCGGGAGACAGGGCACCCCCATTTCCATTCAGCCACCATTTTTATAATAAACAAAGAGTCTGGAATGTTAGAATTCCTAGCCCCTCCCCAGCTACATGCCCAGGATGGGGCAGAGGGGACACCTATAAAAAGCGGTTCCGACGCCGGGCGTTGGTGGCGCACGCCTTTAATCCCAGCACTCGGGAGGCAGAGCCAGGTGGATCTCTGTGAGTTCGAGGCCAGCCTGGTCTCCAAAGTGAGTTCCAGAAAAGTTGCAAAGCTACACAGTGAAACCCTGTCTCGAAAAACCAAAAAAAAAAAAAAAAAAAAAAAAAAAAAAAAAAAAGAAAGAAAGAAAGAAAGGAAGGAAGAAAAAAGAAAAAGCGGGTTCCATCTATCCCTCCCTCTCTCTTCCTGCACAATCATTTCCATAGGCCTATGCACATCTTTCTTACTCCCTTCCATTAATAAACTCTTATAGTGGGTTTTGTTGTACCTCATGGCTTTTCTTGCACAGTAAATAGTGCCACTTAATGAATAGCATTGTGCCACTTAATAAATAACAATGGGTGCCTGTGGAGGCCAGAAGAGAACATCAAATCCCCAGGTTCTGAAGTTATAAGATATGGGTGCTTTGGAAGAGCAGCAAGTGCTTTTAACCACTGAACCATCTCTCCGGGCTTTTCTTAACATTTTAAACTTTGGTTTTTTTTGAGACAGGATTTCTCTGTGTAGCTTTGGAGACTATCCTGGAACTCACTCTGTAGACCAGGCTGTCCTCGAACTCACAGAGATCCACCTGCTTTGGCCTCCCTAGTGGCATGCACCACACCGCCCAGCATAACTTTTATAACTAACTTTATTTTATGTGCATTGGTTTGAAAGTGTCAGGTCCCCTGGAACTGGAGTTACAGTTGAAAGCTGCTGTGTGGTTGCTGGGAATTGAACTCAGGACCTCTGGAAAAGCAGTCAGTGCTCTTAACTGCTGAGCCATCTCTCCAGCTCCCCTTTTTCTTTTGTTTTTTTGCTTTTGTTTTTTGAAATAGAGTCTCTCTATGTAGCTCTGGCTTTCCTAGAATTAACTATGTAGATTAGGATGGCTTTGAACTTGAAGAGACCCACCTGCCTCTGGCTTCCAGTGCTAAGATTATAGGTGTGTACCTTTAAGCTCTACTGATAAATCTTTATATTGCTCACAGAATACTGCTTGTGACCTTTGCTTAGACAGGAAGGTTTAGGTAGTAGTTAACAACTTTATTATTTCAAGGATACATTCTTTATGCATTGGAGTTTTCTGCTCTGGATTACAGTTGCAGTAACTACCCTATGTCTTTGTTGGTCATTTTAATTGTACTGCTTGTATTTTCAATCCTGTCCTGTGTGTGCTTCATAGGGAGGAATTTTAACTCTGGCATTTAAGGATTACAGAGTCTCTGGGCCTCATTAGAATGTTGACATTTAAGACCCTTGGACAACAACTGAGGCAGGGCCAGTGAGGTGTCGCAGTAGGTAAAGGTGCTTAGCGCACAGGCAGGTCTGCCTGCTCAAGTTCAAGACTGAATACCTGGTGGGAGGAGAGGAACAGTTCTCGGAAGTTGTTCTCTGACCTCCACATGTACACCTCCGCATGTGCACACGTCAGTCACACCACACACACAGATATTAATAAATAAGAAATTTAAAAATAACTGAGGCATCTGAAGCGTTTGCATATGGCTCTTCTCGACCTTCACCCACATGGACAGACATGACTCTGCCGTGAGGGGTACACAAATCCCGCTCATCAATGGCAGCTCCACTCCTTGTTACACCCAGCCCCTTGTGGCTATAAGGTCTTTTCTCTCTGGTTTTTTTTTTTTTTTTTTTTTTTTTTTGGTTTTTCAAGGCAGGGTTTCTCCGTGTAGCTTTCTGCCTTTCCCTGGAACTCACTTGGTAGCCCAGGCTGGCCTTGAACTCAGAGATCCACCTAGCTGAGTGCTGGGATTAAAGATGTGCACCACCACCGCCCGGCCAAAGGAAAACATTTAATTGGGGCTGGCTTACAGTTCAGAGGTTTAGTCCCTTGTCATAACAGAGGGAA